GTTAAAATACACCCACTAGTAATATCTGCAACTGGAATTGTGTCACTTACACTTACAAAACATCTAGAACAACTAAATGTTAAATACAGCTTAACACAAATAAATAAATCTGTGGTGCTTGACACGTGTCATATTGTCCGAAGATTTCTTGGCTCACAGACAAATTAGCCGAATCCAAGCATATACTGTTGGTGCACTAGCACCCCAGAATACTGCAAAAATAATCCAGGTTAACCTGAGATAATCCTCAATAATAATAATAATAATAATAATAATAATAATAATAATAATAATAATAATATTATTATTATTAATTATTATTAATATTAATATTAAATAATATTATTATTATTATTATTATTATTATTAATTTTCCTTGACTCCTTGTTGAAAATTATGAGAGACCGATCCTCTAACAAAGATTGGGGTGGAATATTATAAATTAAATATATTTTTCTGTATTCCTGTTTAACTTGTTAAATTTTTTCTTGTCTCTTACTTTTTTATGAGTCTCTATCATCTTCAAAATTTCAAGTTTCTACATAAAATTCAAATAAAAAAATTAAAACTCAATTATACTTACATTTTTGATTGCAATATCTCTTAAGGGGATGAGGTTGAGAAAATTTTTGTTATGGGACCAACTGCTTATAATTTTCAAGGAAGAATCTCATCTTGATTTTTTGAATGAATTTAGAAACTGTATATGATGCGATTAGTTCAATTCTTAGAAATAAATGACTTAATCATTTTTAACCCAGCACAGCGAAATTAATAGCTATTTTAATCTTGTTTTTATAGGCAAATACTTTATCAGTTTCCTCAAATAACTGTTCATCATCAGGAGGTGGAGCTCATGATACCATAACTGAAGAAAATCAGGGTCAAAGTTTGCCTGGTTCAAGCGGTATTAATAATACCAACATCCCTAAGTTGCCCATTTTAGATGATAATATTGAGAACACTTTTCTAAATTTAATAAGGCCCCCATTACCCGAGTTTGATCTCAAAACCTTATTAGAAACTTCTCCTTTGGGAAACTCAATTTTAAATTATTACCTTGCAAATGGTGCATTAGATCAAAAAAGGAGACGTAGGCTTGTGGATATTGTAATAAAGCATATATTTAATTATATAGTCAAATAGTAAGTATTTATAACAAAGATTAAATTACTTTTATAAGAACTTTCTGTTGCCGTATGCCTTCGCAATATAAAAAAATTTAAATGCATCCTCTAATAACTACCTATATAATTACTCGTAAATAGTACCTATTATCTATCAAAAAATTAATGATTTTTTTTTAGTAGGCTGAAGTGTGAGGACTATAAAATAATTGCGGCCAAAATAGTATCGTTATTTTCTAAAGAAAATATTGGAACCTATTTTGTACCTCTCATAAAAATCACAGTCCATTAAAGGTAAACCTATATTTGCAAAAGGAAAACTGGTCGACAAATGTCGAAACCTTTTGTATATATCTGGAGAAAGACGAATTACTAATAAAAAGAGGCCTTTCAATAATAAAACCAACAGTTTGCAAGAAGAAAATACAAACACAAAAAAACAAAAACTTGAATAAATCTAATATTCATATTCCGTTTTTTTTTTGTCTAAATAGCGAAATATTTTTGAATATTTTTTTTTTGTGTAGAACAACAAATTTTATTTTTATTTTAAGAATCTCATCAACAAACTATTTTATGGTTGAGAGTCAATCAGGAACCATGAAAGACGGTCATAGATAAGTGGGAAAGTACATACGAAGTTAGGCAGGCCACTGATTACAACACTGTTTATGACTTTCTTAATGAATGGCCAATATTGCACGATTTAAGAAGTGACGTTTTGGTAATTTCGATTGTGCCTATTTTTATAATCTTTGATAATATTTCACTTTTTATGCAGATTAACCTTGATTTCGACCGAATGTGTCCTGGTAAAGGTCTCAATTTTCATAATTTATGGCCAAGTTTCTTTAATAAAGTTTTGGAACTGAAGAAACAAGATTTAACAAATTATAACGATCCACATATACAGGCATTGTTAGATTCCTTAGATATCATTCAAGAATATGGTTAGTTTTACATTTTTAAATTGTTATAATAATTTGGTTGTCTTTATTAATATTTCTAATTCTGATAGTCATTTAAACTTTATTATTTAAAATTGAACTTTTATTTTGTGAAAAGGAATGCTGCGAGCAACAAAAAGACGCAAATTTCTCTTCACATAAAATAAAGTATATTGATGTGCTTATATTTTATACTTTTTACTTTTCTTTACACACGTTATTCAATCTAATGTTTTTTTTTTACTTTTTTAAATTTCATTACAGACTCCAAAATTGCAACACAAGTAATGCTTCTTCCTCATTTAATACCCCCAAAAAGCCGTACAGTAGTTGCAAAAAAGCATTGGAAGTTTTCAATACAAGAAGCCGTTGAAAATCTGCTGGTGCTCGTTAAAGTAAGTAGCTAATAAATAAGAGTATTATAACAGAGGCTTTGAAATTTGTATATAAATGTTTTGTTTTAACTAAAATAAAAAAGTATCAAACGCTTGATTATTGCTGTTAATAATTAATTATAGTGTTCATACTTATTCTAACTTAAATTAAGAAATATTTACTCGGAGCGTTTTTCATTTCAATGTATTTCCTAAAAGTTGATAATATTTAATTTTGAAGAAAAAATAAATAATACAATATTTTTTCAATGTTTATGCTACCACTATTTATTGAAAAATACATAGTTTACACTAGTTGGTATTTTTATACAAATAAAACTTGTAATCTTTTGAAAATATCATAAGGCACAATTATATTAAAAGAAAGTATTCATACATATGAACATAAAGGTATAAATAATGACATCCGTAAAAATATCGGTAGAATTTTAAAGGAAACTTTATATCAAAATTAAAGCATTTTCAACAATTCACGCCTTTAAATATTGCATGCTATTATAAAATCCGCTGCTTATAAAATATAATTTTTGACAAGGGGGGTAGCCATATGTGAGTTAAGGTGACAATAAGCTGAGGGGGAGAAATAAAGTCCTTTGAATCTCACAAGAAAATTATAATTTTATTTAAAAAATTATGATGCGACCGGTTTCGAAGTTAACTACTTCATCTTCTGGCATGCCACACTCTCCATCCACTAGGGAACACTACCAAATATTTCATCAAAAAAAAAAAACGATAGTGAAAGTCAACATAAAAAAGAGAATAAAAATATTTGAAAACACAAATATTAGTCATACAAGAGTAAATGGAATTAAAAAATTACAAACAACAATTAAAAAATACAATACATTTTAGGTACGTTTAGTAAAGCTGATCAAATTATTTGTGTTTTCAAATATCCTTATTCTCTTTTTTATGTTGACTTTCACCATCGTGTTTTTTTTTTTTGATGAAATGTATGGTAGTGTGCCCTAGTCGATGAAGAGTGTGGCATGCCAGAAGATGAAGTAGTTAACTTCGAAACCGGTCGCACCATAATTTTTTAAATAAAATTATAACTTTCTTGTGAGATTCAAAGGACTTTATTTCTCCCCCTCACCTTATTGAAAATATAATTTGTTTTTTTTTTATTTTTAGAACCCTGGTGATATAGAGGAAACTATAGCTAAACAAAAAGAAAAATGTCATAACAGACAACAACCAGTCCAACCATATGTACTGATTGATGGGAATGAGCTTTCCAATTTTAGAAGAATTTTTGTAGTAGTGGACACGTTGAGGTATCAATTTGAATATCCTGGAAAAGCATTTGATACTTTATTTAAATTGTATCAAGTATTTAAAGCAAGGTATCCTCTTCCAGGGGAACATACAGTATGTCGCTAATGTATGGAATAAATTCATTATAATGGAAGTAGCTGGTTTTTCGAAAAAATTCTCGGACAGGTCAATTTTGTTTACTTAAAGCGCAATTTTTTAAATAAAATTCAATTTTCCCCCACTTCCCATTTTTGGGCAGTGACGTCATTGACAATTTTTTTAAATAGCAACCCCAATTTTTTTTTCTTGATTTTGATAGATCTTGCAATTTCCTACTTGGAAACGTAATATTTGAAATATCTGACATAACAATTTTTTTTGAAAAAAAGTCATTTCAAGATCAGATACATAAATTTTATGGTATTTTGAAACACAATAAATTAATAAAAGATAATTATTTGTAATTAAGTGCTTAATTTAAAAAAATAATAATAATAATAATAATAAAACGAATTTAATGACAATTTCACAAATTCTTTTTATTATTATTTTTTTATTATTATTTTGTTAGATTAAGCATTTAATTACAAATAATTATCTGTTATTAATTTATTGTGTTTCAAAATAACATAAAATTTATGTATCTGATCTTGAAATGACTTTTTTTCAAAAAAAATTGTTATGTCAGATATTTCAAATATCATGTTTCCAAGTAGGAAATTGCAAGATCTATCAAAATCAAGAAAAAAAAATTGGGGTTGCTATTTAAAAAAATTGTCAATGACGTCACTGCCCAAAAATGGGAAGTGGGGGAAAATTGAATTTTATTGAAAAAATTGCGCTTTAAGTAAACAAAATTGACCTGTCCGAGCATTTTTTCGAAAAACCAGCTACTTCCATTATAATGAATTTATTCCATACATTAGCGACATACTGTATACATATAATTACTTATTCAAAGATGCGTATACAAAGTCAGAATACCGTTTGACAGTATTCACCCTTATTTAGTTGATTTATTAAACGAACTCGAATAACATTTATTGTTTATCTTTGAGAGGTAGAGATGAAATGTATAAAGTGTTCAAAATTTTTTTCTAATTTTAATCAATATATTCTATATTTAGAATGCTATCACAATTCAAGTTCAAATTATTTTGTTTGTCCTATACCGAGCTGTAGCAGGATTTACCATCGAAAAAATTCTTTAAAACAACATATGAATATTATTCACCAAGCTAATTTTTGCCATGATAATCTGGCAAAAAATACTGACGATAAAAACATCATCAATGAAAGTTATTCGACCAGTGATACTCATATTGAAGATAACATTTTAGGTGAATCTGTTGCCGTTACTGAAGATAATTTACAAAAACTCTTTGCAGATTTTCAATCGCTATTTACAATCTCTATCGAAAAATAATATCTCAATTCTATTGTAATTTAGATGTGCCAAGATCAGTCATTCAAACTCTAATAGAATCCGTTTCAGCTTTTATGTCTTCTGGATTAATTGATAAAATGTTAAGAGTCTCTTAAGTTTTTTGGCGGTGACACGAAATCTACTTCCTTCGAATATATAAAGTCTATGCTAAAATTGATGGAAAATCCATTTTCATCACTAGATACGGAATACAAACGTTTTAAACATTTTCAAAAATCTGATAAATTATTTATGCCTCAAGAAATTTTTCTCGGTGTTTCAGAAGATCAGGTGCGAAAAAACAATGAGGTTTCTTTAGTATTAAAGCATAGATATGCTTACTATGTTCCACTAAAAGAATCTCTTAAACGTTTCTTAGAACTTCCAGATGTTTATCAAAGCGTAATAAATTATCATCAGCAATTAAAAAAAGAGTATTCGGAAAATAATGTTCTTCGAAATATAATTCATGGAAGTAATTGGTCTTCAAAATTTCATAGTGAGATTTTGCCGTTAGTGTTGTACTACGATGATTTTGAAAGCGGAAATCCTCTTGGAAGCCATGCAGGAAATTACAAAATTAGTGCTATATATTTTTTCATTGCTACGTTACCTCCTGACCACTTAAGCAAATTAGAAAATATATTTGTAACTTTCTTGGTACATTCCATCGACAAAATAAAATTTGGTAACTCCGTGTTTCAAGTAATTGTTAATGATCTATCTCTACTAGAAACTGAAGGAATTAATATCAGAGTAAATGGTACATTAGTTAATGTCAAGTTTGCGTTGGCCGCAATATCTGGTGATAATTTAGGAGTTCATGGAATACTCGGGCTATTTGAAAGTCAACACATTTTTGTCGATTTTGTACTATTCCTAAAGAAGAAACGGTGACAGTAACTCATGAATTACAGGATTATTTATGAAAAGAGTTCGACTACGCTGATCATTTAAATCGCAAACTAGGTGTTAAAGAGCAATGCATCTGGAACTCGCTACCTAATTTTCATTTATATAAAAATGCTACCTGCGATGTGATTTATGCTAGGGAATTCACCGATACAGTATGGCTCTTTTAATTGAAAATTTAATTAAAAAAAAGTATTTTACATTAGATAACCTTAATGCTAGGATTAAATATTTCACTTATCAGAATTTAGAAAAAAATATTCCTGCCTCGGTAACAAAACAACACTTATTAAATGGATGTATAGTTTTTTCGGCATCTGGAATGTTGTGTCTAGTTCGAAACTTTAGATTTATTATAGGGGATTTAATTCCAGATAATGAAGAATTATGGGTATATTACTTAATTTTGCTAGAAATTACGCAAATTCTAGCTGGTCAATCAATAACACAGTCACTTTTACAACATCTAAAAACGCTAATTGAGGAACATCATCAAATGTTTTTGTCCCTTTTTAATTCAAATTTAAAACCTAAATACCACATTTTGGTGCATTATATTCAAATAATAGAAAAAATTGGCCCTCCTATTTTTATCAGTTCTTTTAAAGGAGAAGCAAAGCATAGAGATTTAAAAATTATTGCACAATCAATTAGAAGCAGAAAAAATTTACCCTACTCAATTTTAGCTAGGTGTCAACTGAAAAGTTGTTATCGGATTCTTTCAAAAAAAGGACTTAGTGATAATATTTCGTATAGTGATCAAATCAGCTTAGATGAAATTGATAAAACCACAAATTTAGAACCAGGGGATTTTTTTTCTGTCAGTTGGTATGAAATAAATGGTGTTAAGTACGAACATGAGATGGTATTAGTTCTTGAATTCTAAAATGATATACCACTTTTTTGTAAAATTGAGAAAATATTTATGAACCAATATGATGCAAAATTGTTGTATATTGAATGTTCAGCTTTAAGCATTATTGGGTACAGCGATTTTTTTTTTATTTGCACGTATGTTTTGGCTATAAATTTAAAGTTTTTCCGAAATTCCTGTTTATAGGTTGGTAAATATACAATATGTGTAGAACATGAAAAAAACTGCTTAAGTACTCTTAGACCATTAAGTAAAAGAGGTATCTATGTTTTGTGTGTTAATTTTTTAATAAAAATTTTTATTAACTTCTTGTTTGCCTAACATTGTCACATTTGTCAAACCTCATTTGGATCCACAAAAAGAGACAACTGTTTCAACGTCATAAATAATAACATAATTTTCATTCGAAGAGCGTTTCCTAGCCTCGTTAACATTATCAGGAATTGATCAAATTAATTAGAGTTAAGTGCTCTATATAGTGGTCCCTAAGTATACGTTCACGTATTATTTGAAAGTATTATTCCGGCGAGTAAAAGTTCAAATCAACTTTTGTCCAAATAGGCCTATTTTCGAGATAAAGGTGTAGACATTTTATATAAATTACATTAGAAATATTCTGTTCTAGGTAATTAAAAGACAACAAGTTAACATAAACTTTTGTCTTGAAACCAATTATTATTAAATGAACAGACATAAGGGCTAAAAGGGCCAAATATTTATACATGGGCAGGCTTAAGAGGAAAAGGCGTTAAATAATTTTACTAATTAAAAGGCGACATGAAATGACTCTTAAAAAGCAGAACTAGCAATATGAAGATCATCTACGTGATTCGGCTTTAGTAATGCTAATACTTTACAAATTCAAAAATTTAAATCTTATTAAATCTCATTATCTTGCGGTCTTACTTTCAAAATCAAATTGTTTTTATTTTTTCCATAAATTATCTCAGTCTCAATAAGGTCTAAACCACGAATTTAGCGTTTTTTAATTTTGATAGGGTTTTAAAGAATACAATATACAATACAAATGTGCAAATGAACAATCAAACGAACTATTACTTGATCACCTTTATAAAGTTTAAGTTAAGGTTTAAATTTTTATAACAGAAATAGACTTCATCAAACTACCAATTAAAATATTGTGGGTAACACAACTAGCGAACTGAAATAATTATTTTAAACCATCTTTGAATTATAAATTTTCTACATGGGAAAGAAATGTTTTAAAGTTAGTATATAACAAAAATAAAATTTTATTTTTTAATATTACTCAAACAATAAGAACTTCAACATATAACAAATTTATAACTCCCACTACTCGCATAGACAAAACGAGAAACAACTAACTGTTTTATGATGAAAAAATTCCCGTTTCTTTCCGTCTCTGATAAATATTTCAAAAAGCAGTCTCCAACCAAGCAGGTTAACCAATAAAACACCCCGGAGCACTTGTATTATTCAAAAAGTTTTGGCTCCTCCGCAGAATAATACACAACTCCAAAAAAAAAAACAGAATGTGAACCGTTCGTACAACGTTCAAACAGTGTCCTTTAAGATTCTTTTATGTATATCATACAGCAATGAGGTCGATTTGGTCTTGTTTCGTGACGAAGTTTCCGTTTGAAAAGTTGGAGGTTGCAGGTATTACGACAAAAAAACATAGTTTTATTTGTATCGATCTTTATTTTTGTGTCTTGGTCTGTCTATGTACTAAGAATTTTATATACAGTGAAGTCTTATAGTAACATATACATTTATTTTTCATGTTATGATTTGCAGAGGAATTACTGAAACAGGTCGATTTTCAATTTAATATCCAAAATTTTGTATGTAACAACTTTACCTCCAAGGTCACTCTCTCGGAGGGGTAGATAAGATTAGATTCAAAATAAATACATTATTTATCCTTGTGCACCGTGACGTTCTTAGGCTTTTTGAGAGACTCCGTTATTTAGAGTAAGTTATCCAGCTTGGTCTTTTTAGTTAGACTTTGTAGCTATTACACTGGCTCCCACATGTCGTTACATGTGTTAGAAACCTCAATCTATCCAGGTCTTCACACTGGCACAGGATGTGGATTAATGTTTTCTCTTTTTCTTTGCAAAACCTGAATATGTTGCTTCATTTGCTGAATTGATGACATTTATGTCCCTTCTTAGAAGATCTACTGTTATCCTAACGATTTGTTGTTTTTGATCCAGTAGATCTTTTGTCAACTTGGCCGGTGGTTTCTTAATGAACTGTTTGGCATGTCTTAATCCTGGATAGTTGTTCCAACATTCATGATATTTTTTTACATCTATTGTTTGCAAAAAATTCCTTTGCAACTCCACATAAGGTTTCAGAGCCTCTTCTTGTCTTATGTGAGCAATCTCGGGATAGTTCTGTCATATGTCGTCCGACTGTCGGCCTTATGATTACTGATATCTTTCGGGTTACCCAGACTAAGATCACTTAGATTTGACTTCTTAGCTTTGTCAGGTCTTCTAGACAGTCTTTTACCTGTAATGATTTTATTTTTGGTGAGAAAAGTGTATTTGAAGCTAACTGGCTATTAGAGTAGATGGCAATGGTTTTTTCTGACACTTATTTATTATTTGTCTCACACAAAGTTTTATGAGTATTAGTTTCTTTTGAAAAATTGTGGTATATTCCCTAGACTCATTGCAATCCTTGTTTTCGACTTGTGACCAAAGAGTCCATTACCGGCACCTTTCTCAGTTTCGGAAGATTCTGTATACTAAATAAATTCAGCGTGTATGAGAGGTTCCAGTTTTTAGGATTGACGAGTTAATATTTTACCATCTATTTCAAATTTTATGTGATTATGGCAGTAGGCATTCTTAGAATCTTATTTTTTTTACTTGCTGTTATAGCCTTAAATAGCTATGCAGTTAACTTACTAAGTTTTATCCATGCATTATCCTGTGTATGACGGAACCAGTTTCGACCTAAACGAATGTAGGTTTAAAAGTACCTCCATTGATGTAGTTAGTGACTTTCAGACAAGCAAGCTGCTGAATGCAGCCCGGTAAGTTGGCCTTTTTTGGTTACCAACGTCACTGCGTCATAGGTTATCATGTGTCTTACCACCCTTGTTTATACCCATTCTACTGGATTAAAAATAATTTTTGGTTGCTTTTAAAACAGATTCGGGTTCTGTTAAGAAAACAAAAATAGTGCAGAATATTTTCTATAAGTAATAAGAGTAGATATTATATATTTTATGGTTTCAAATAAATAAGCACAAACGAATTATAAACAGGTGAGTGATTATATAAATTAATTATTATTTTATATAAATATAATTGATTTTAGGTAGTTTAAAAAGCAATTACAAATCGAAGATATTCTGAAGATTTAAAGGCTTGAAGAGCTTGAAAAGCAATGAATTAAGTTTGCGCAAAAGAGGTATTAAGCCATGTAAAAACCATCTTCACATACTATGAAGGACTGTTTGGTAGCCCGAAAACAGACTAACCTTACCCTAGGTGCCAGGCCACATAGGGCACAAGGTCGATAAGTAGCCTAAAAGTTGCTTCTGGATCCAGCACTCATCCATGGTGTTACAAAGACCGCCATCAGATCCTGCGCAAAGCAGCGGGTGTTCAATGAATCTCAGAAACGCCAAGTTAGAGGCAGGCCAGAAAATTCATAAAAGGGCCATCGTCAAAACTGAGTGAGAATAGCAGAAGTACTAAAATACTTGTCCTATTAACATGGCATTGTAAGTTTAAAAAGACATAATATGTACAACATCGCACTGGCAAA